CGCATGTATAGTTTAACATAGCTTTGGATGTTACACTTAATTTTTTTCATGACTCTGGAACCATTAGAAAGAGTGGTCCCCACAAGTGATGTTCAAAAATTGAGTCCCCATGAAGCATGGAAACCAGTATGTGTGTGTGTGTGTGTGTGTGTGTGTGTGTGTGTGTGTGTAAACCAGGACGTGAACCAGAAGCTGCAGGAGGACAACCAGGAGCTGCGGGACTTGTGCTGCTTCCTGGACGATGACCGGCAGAAGGGGAAGCGGGTGTCCCGGGAGTGGCAACGCCTGGGTCGCTTCAGCGCCAGCATGATGAGGAAGGAGGTGGCCATCTATCTGCAGAAGTTAAAGGATCTGGAGCAGCGGCAGGTGGAGGTCATCAAGGACAACCTGGAGCTGAAGGAGGTGTGTCTGATGCTCGAGGAGGAGAGAGCTGCGGCCGCCGTCGGAGGTGGTGGCGGCGGGGTGGTGGGAGGTCAGGGGGATGCCGGCTGCAGAAGCTCCATAGACAGCCAGATCAGCCTGTCTCATCTGGGGGGAGGCGGGCCTGCAGCTGGCCTGCTGCGGGACGTTGGCGATGGGAGCAGCACCTCCAGCGCGGGGAGCACGGACAGCCCCGATAACTCTCACCACAAAACCCCTCCTCTAAGCTCCGGGGCTAGCCCGGGGTCCGGTGCTAGGTATGCTTCCTCGGAGCAGCACAGAGACCTGTGTGAGTCCCCTGGGAGGAGGCACAGCTCGAGCACGGAGTACCACACCTTTCCACAGTACAGCCGCGCCCCAGGGGGCTCCCTCACAAACCTGGACCCCCACATCCTTCAACGGCCCAGCCCAGAGAAACACGGCAAGTCTCCTGCCAGGGTACCCTGCAGCTCTGACCCGCTGGCCCAGAAACAGCTGCTGATATCAGCGGGTGGGGGGAAAGGCTCGGCTAAGTCCAGTCCAGAGCTGAGTCAGAGACAGCGTCAGGGACACAGGGTGGGAGCCGGCTGTGACGGTCCCGAGGGTAAGCCGGCAACGAAGGGGACCCCGGAGCACCTGAGGAAAGAGTGGGTGATTGTCGGGTGTCCAGAATCTATACGACACCATCATCCGCACAGCCCCGGGACAGAACACGGCAAGGGGAGGTACAGCAGGGACGGGGGTCCGAGAAGGCCTGTGGGTGAGGAGATGAGCCCCCAACACCAGAGTCTGTACAACGGTAGGCACATGGTAACTCCTGTACTTTCATCCTTTCTGACCAAATAACTAACATTTGTACAATTTTACGACAGCTATGTATCTTTTGCTTTCCTCTGATCTGATGTCTCAGTTTTCCAGATAAAGTTTGTTTTTCTTTATTTGAAGTTAGACGTCTTTTAAAGCGAAAATCTTGTGAGGTCTGACTCACGTTGCAGGCCCTTGTCTCTTTGATCCTCTCTGCTCAGTCAGGACCAAAAACAGCTGCAGCAGCATCTGGGAGCTGCTTACACATGCACACTGCTGACCTTCTGCTTTGTGTAGAGGCTGCACACTCTGGGAGACATTCTGTCCCTGCTAACTTCTTAATGGTCATTTGAAACTTTAAAGCACAGCTGGTGTCTGACGAGGAGCTATCTTTACCTTAGCTGGAAAATAAAATTTGATTCAAAGCTAAATAACAGGCTGGAAACACCTCTGTGGTCAAACCATCAACCATAAACCAGTCACGGTGAGTGTCTGTGTATTTTCTGTTAATAGTTTTTCCTCCCAGTGTTTCCTCTGCAGATCCAGTGTTTTTCCATTCTTTGTCCCCTGTCAGTCTTTGCTTAGTGGTGCGTTCACACCGAACGTGTTTTGAGCAGCAAAAATGCGCCCAACACCTCTAGTTGTACGCTCTACATTCAGACCGGGACAGAGACTAGATGCGTGTCTGACGAAGGAGGAGCGTCTTGGTTTATTTCTGGTCTGTCTTCAGTGGATGAAACAAAGATAAAATGAAGAAAATGGCTTTGCTTTATTTACTAAAGAGCAAGCGAACGTTGCGCACACCAGATAATTAATTCACCAGATAATTTAGAGGCGGTTTGTTCAGTGAGTTTCACCACTGCAGGAGCTGCGAGCTAACAAACTATGTTTGTCCCGAGCCCAGTTTAACACCGTGGTCAGTTTAACGAGCTGCTGACCTGCATTGGTGCTGATATCTCCAGCCAGAACATCAACAGCAGACGGTTGATTTCAGCTAAAGAGCTCCTGTTCGTCTGTTTCAGTTTAGTGGGCAACATTCAGGAAACTGTCACGTGGAAAAATGAAGCTCTCCGATTGGTTGATGCCACGCGTCGAGCAGCAAAAGTTCAGATTTTTGAACTCCAGCGTTGGCTGCTTTAGACGCACCACATGCACGAAAAACTCTACTGCTACCTTCCACTTCCTTGTGCGCTGCTCTAAATGGACTTGACATGCCACAAGACCCCTAGAGGCGCGTCCACCATAGACTTTGCATGTAAACCGGCCACTCCTGCAGCTCAAAACGCGTTTGGTGTGAACGTACCATTAGCCCCGCCCTCACTCACCTTTTCCTTGTGTGTCTCCTCCAGGTGTTTCTTAGTTAGTTGGTCGTCTGTCTCGTGTCCTCAGTGTTTGTCGGATCATTGTGTCAACCACAGCCAGTGTGAGCTTCTCATTGTTCATTGTTGTTAGCTGTAAATCTTTGAAGCCGCCAGTGTTTTTCGTTATGAAAAGTTTGCCTGTTCCGTGGGCCGATCTGCCACCATTCTCACAAAACCCATTTCAAATCCTTATAAAAAATATTGAAATTCAGCTGCAAGGAACAAACCTTGTCATGTTCCGTATATATGGTGTGGATGACTCTCAGCTACTACCACTTCCAGTTTTAGCTCAAAATCTGTAAAAATTAAGTTTTTCTGTTGGGCTGTTGGTTACCTGTAGCCACCACCGTGAGTTGGATTGACTCAAGAAAGAAGCCAGTTGTAGTCCAAATAATGACTACTTGCTGAAAGAGGTTCTTGAGATATTTTGCTAACAGACACGCATGGTTGACTTTATCAGACAATGTTAAAGTTTTAAGCAAAGGATCTGGTGCAATGAGTAGTACTTGGAAAATATGTTACAAATGACTTCTAACCACAACATTTTATCACAATATCTGTACAACTGACTGAATTTTAGCCATTTATGTGTAGTCTAATGTAGGGTTGGGCGATATTGGCAAAAAAAATGAATCGTGATTAATTGTGGTATTTAGCCGAAAACTATTAATTTGACGATTAATCCCCTGGAGTATGTCCTAGTCACATGACCAATTTAGTGGGAAAGATTTGCTCTTCATAAAAATCTTTTTCAAACTGTGTCAAAATCACAGACCTCAGGCTCTACTTCAAATTTTAAATTGTGTTGATAAATAAATGACAGAACTTTTGTTTAAATATTTGTCATATTTGAAGCGGAGAGGAGCACTGAGCGGACTGACCGGGGAAATCCCCAGTCACTCTGCCTGGTGGAATTAATCGTATTAATCATCAAGTGCCAAAAAATAATCGATTAATGTTTTTCTGACGATTAATTGCAGACGATATGATTATGCCCAACCCTAGTCTAACGTCTGCCGCCATGTTGAATTGGTTTGGCTGTAAAAGTTGATCAATTGTCAATGTACACCCAGTGATTTTTTTCTGGAAACTTTCATTCGTTTGTCTAGAAGTTCATGAGATATTTTAGTAATAGACAGAGTTGACTCCAGATGATTAACTGCAACATTTTAAACGGTGCTGAGAATATGTTTTGGGGATCAGTCTCAGCTATTACCTCGCCTAACTCTAGGACAATATACATCAAATGGACTGAGTTTAGGGCTGCGCGGTATTTGCGGTAGACGGTAGAAACGGTATGAAGTTGGCCTTCTGTAGGAATTTACCCTCTACAATTCTGTCGTCATTACGTCATCGCACCTGTGTCCACAGGGCTGCGAGTGCAGAGACAACTGAGCAGGAGTTCGAAATATAATGAAGAAATTTTAGCGTTTTAAAACACGTAGTATAGACAGAATAAATCCTCAAATTTTACTGTAAAAAAGCTGTAGAAAAGTTACGTCATGTTGAGGGATCATTTTCTCCCTCCCTCCCCTCCCGCTGCACGTCGCGCAGGCCGATGCTTTAACTGTAGTTTTTAACACCCACTTGTCTGAGAAAAAAAAAGATTTTAATGTATTTTTACCCACAGAGATTATATATATAAAAAAAAAGACATGGACGTTCGTTCAGTCATAAATCCATCTTGCTAATGTAAAGTCGGCTTCTCCTCTGATGATGTAGATGATGACGATGAGCGCGCAGCAGAGCAGCAGCTGATAAGTTCATCAGGCAGAAGCTCATTGTTTGACAGGCAGATATTAAAGCAAAAAATGTTGGGTTCAATTAAGATTACAGTTTTCTGCAAAAAAAATGCTCTAAAAATGACATTTTCTTAACTTTTTATGATAATTTTCTACCGCGATATAACCGTTACCTTGAAGGGGTTAAATTTATACCATAATACGAATTTGAGGTCATACCACCCAGCCCTAACTGAGTTGTAACCATTTCTGTATTGTCAAAGTCCACACTGTAAAAAATAACTTGTAAGATTTACTAGAGAAGTAAATTTTACTTGGTAAGATTCTTGAAATAATAAAAACTTGAGTCAAATCAAGTATTTGAAGAATCTTACGAAGTAAAAATTTCTTACTCCATTGGCAGAAAGTTTTGACTTAATTTTGAGTCAAATTTTCAGACTAACAAGACAAATAATCTTACACATTCTGAAAACAAGATTATTATTCTTACACAATCAGTTCTTGTTTAGTAAATCTGTCTCAAAATAAGATCAAAAACACTTTTGGCTGGATATAAGATTTTAAAACTTGGTAAGATGGACAGTTTGTGCAGTGAGCTGAAGTTATTCTCTTTCTGCAACACAGAAACAATTTAACTTTTTTCTTTGTACCTCTGTCTGTGTTGCTGTTTTCCTCCTCGACATGTCTTTTCTTCTTTGCCTGGTTGTAGACAGTAATCACGCATTTTGGTATGGTCGTGAAGGTAAAGGGTTGAGAAAAGATCATTACTGAGTTTATTGTTTTGTGTTGTTTAATAAAGCTTAACAGGACAACTCAGCCTCTGTGCACCTGTCAATTAAAGCCCTTTACAAAACTACTTCCCCAGGTTTTCCACAATAGAAGCACATTAACGTCTCCATACATTAAATCTATTCGTGCACGCCACTGAAGAAGTGTACATTACGTTCAGCGATGGCAAAAATGGGAGTTTTTTTTAACTTCATTCATTATAAGCAAGGGAATTGTCACCCGTGCCAGTTATTGAGCAAGCTGCTCCAACAATAACATTAGCTAATGTGCGTAGCAGTGCTGCGAGGAAATGTGTCCCCTGTGAAACAGTTCACTGATGGGCACGACGTAACATTCCGAACATGTTCAGGCTCTTTAAACTGGTATGTCCAGTGTTCAGAAAATTCATATCCTAACAAAAATAATAAACAGTTTTCAGTACAAACCGGTATACTGCCCAGCACTATGTCACAATGTCATGAAAAAACTGATTGGCTTTCAAATATGAGCAAATGAGCAGACTGCTGACAACTCATCCACTCACACACATTGATTCAGATTTGCTCTGGTTTGACTCCTCATCTTTTTTTTTTTTTTTTGTACATGCTTGGTCTAATTATAGCCTCTTACTCTGTCACATCTTCTGTCATATGTAAATGTGTGTGTGTGAGGTAACATAGAGAACAGCCGAGCATCCTGCAGTATATAACCTATACCCCCCGGAGAGTTGCATCAGCCATGCTGAGATGAGCACACATCTCCCTCAGTCTCTCAGGTCTGCAGCTCGTGAATCAGCACGAGTCCCTGATTTGTGTGTGTGAACATCAGTTGTTTGGATGGAAAAAGTAATTTTTTTTGCTTGTTTGTTTTTGCATGAGAGTGTTATGTTACAACTTTCAGAGATCCAAACTGTAGTTTTTAAAACAACTGCTGGGCTGCTTCCTGCTGAGGAACTCACGGGCCATTTTTTTTATCAAAGAATGAGTGCACAGGTTTAAAACATGAAATCATCCTAACTTTACTAAAACCTAAAAGAATCAATGGGCCTCATGCAAGAACCATTCGTACGCACAGATTTGTTCTTAAGTTGTCCGGCCGGCTTATCCGCTATCAGGTGCGGCAGG